CAATTTGGCCCAACCTTAACCGGAGGGGTCAATTTTATTTGGTAAGAGGCAGAATTTTTCGGGTGCTGGTGATGGTGGATTCCCTTCATCTTCTTGACCAGATTTAAAGTATTTATGTTAACTTTGTGTTTGCACTAATTTTTTTTTTTCGTTATATATAGTGCCGCACTTTTATGTTTTTTATTATATGAAAGGAGTATACTGACTTTTTAGCAAAGTGAATTTTCACTTATGTTTTGGGTTTCATTCCTGAAGACCCTTTTGTGTTATAGGACAGTTTCAGTTTGGTATCACCTGTTCAGTGCCACATACTGATAATACTGAAGGGTAAGATTTATGTTAAAAAAAAAAAAAAATAGTCAATGTGTTCATATCCTTTAACTTTGTTCAGTTGTTCTCCTTTTTTCTAGTTTTAACCTTTTTTCTCTGATGCTTCATACATTTACATGCTGTTAATTTACCAACTGTATATGTAAAGTATGTAAAAGTTACTAAGGAACAGATGAAAATATATATGGATACAATGTTTTGTAAAATAACCAAGGGTTGGTTTAATTGTCTAGTCCAGGCAGATAGGACTGATGGGAGTCCTCTTTTAGGAGGCCAGAAAAATCAGGTTCAAGGTTCGGTCCAGAGAGATTTGTGCAGGGAATCTCCTCTAAGGAGTAATTGGAGCTGGCACAGAAGGTTGATGTCAAATGCTTGTGACCTTACTCGCAACCTGGCTAGCTGTGTTGAAGAAGGTAACATTGACAGAGAACATTATTTTACTGTTGTCTCATAATTTCTGTATTTTTTTTTTTTTCATCTGGGAACTTTTTTGAAGATTTGAGAATTTTTTTTATGCTGCATTTGAAATTATAACTCCACAGATAGCTGTGGTTCTCTATTCAGGATATATAAAACACACTATTAAAGTTTTTAAATGGCAACTAATGGTGGTGTTTTTTTTTTTTATATGCAATATGTTGGTTCCTAAGCTGGTTCCTTTTGTGGCTGCTGTGTATTGGGTCTAGGACTGACATGGAGAGGTTGGTGGCTGTCCAGTCTGTGGATGTTCCCAAAGTATCTCTGTACACAAATGCTATTGTGGGTTTAGGTTTTTTGTTTTTTTTTTCTGCCTGCAAACTCCCCTTTCACTAACTCCTAAAAATGCCTATAGTGTGCATGGACACACAGGCTAACATGGAGGGGCGTTAACAGGTAGAGAAACGTAAAAGCTGAAAAAACAGCTCAGATACCTGTATGAGCAGCTTCTGTGAGCTGTAGTGTGCATGAGGCCTTAGAGGCAAAGAAAAAAGAGCTCAAACACCTGTAAAAGCTGGGGGGTTTTTTTGTTTGTTTTTTGCTGCAGAGTGCATGAGTTCTTAAAGTGGTCTTGGAGCATAGTTTCACACTATTCACAGTGAAGATTTTTATCATGCAACCTTTTTTCTCATGTGTATGGACTTTTTGAATTTTAATGGTTGAGTGCACTGTTCAGTGATGTAATATCACATGACTTATATAATTTGCTCTTGATAATTTACTTAACCATTTCCCGACTGCCCTATAGCAGAAATACTGCTAAGGTGCACAAAATCACGTGTATATATACATGATTTTGCATTTCCGGGTAGGGGGCGTGCCGCCATTCTCGGCTGTCAATTACTGGGTCCCAGCAGGTGATTTACTCCCCAGCGCCCGTTGATTGCTGAGCGTCACCTGTCAGCTCGTGCATACTGCTTTGGATGGCTGTGCACAGCACTGCCATGTAAAGCGGTGTGCTTACAGTGATGCACATGGACACAGCTTATAGTAAAACAGCACACAGTCAACCCATTGATCGCCGCTGATGTTAACCCCTTCCTGCCCAGTGCCATTAGTACTGTCTGTTTTTTGTTTTGTTTTGTTTTTTTTTGTTTTGTTTTTTTTTGGGTTTTTTTTAGCACTGATCACTGTATTGGTGTCACTGGGGATGTCAGTGACACCAAGTCGGTTCCCCCCAATGTCAGAATGCCCGCCACAGTCCCGCTATAAGTCGTTGATCACTGCCAGTACTAGTAAAAAAAAAAAATTAAAAATCCCAGTACTGCCATTAGTGAACGCTATAGCTTTCACGAAAACCAATTAATTTACACGTATTGGGATATTTGTTTAGCAAAGACATGTAGCAGAATACATTTTGGCCTAAATTTGACTAAATTTGATTTTAAAATGTTTTTACTGTACATGTTTAATATCAAAAAGTCAAAAATATTGTTTTTTTTTCTCAAAATTGTGGCTTTTTTTTAATAGCGAAAAAAATTAAAACTGCACAGGCGATCAAATACCACCGAAAAAAAGCTCTTCGTGGAAAAAAAAAGGACGGAAATTTAATGTGGGTGCAGTGTTGCATGAATGCGCAATTGTCAGTTAAAGTAACGCAGCGCCGTAACACAAAAAATGGCCCTGTCACGAAGGGGGGTAAACCCTCTGGAGGGCATGTGGTTAAAAGAGAAGTTTGGACTTAAAAAAAAAATGTAGTTCACCTAGGTGGATGCAGCATCAATTGGATGCTGCATCTGTCACATGCTGGTTCTGCAGTGAGAACTGAGAGATCAAACACTGCTGATCGCTCAGGTCTCTGACTCTCTGCTCTTCCCCTGTAGCGCTGGGCTGTGGAGGAGGCTGAAGGGGCTGGCTCGGACTCTCCATAGATCGCTCAGAAGCTGAGCCAGGTGGCGGTCTAAGCTTCTAGGTGGATCCTAAGCATTTGGTTGGGATCTTTTCAGAGCCTGGACTGGCTGAGTGACAAGCTGACAGTCATTTTAGCCCGCTGTCGGCTGAAAACTGATCACAGGACGAACTGCACTCCTGTGACTTACGGGAGAAGCCTAGCCAATATATCGTTGGCTATACTTTTCATTTATGGTAGTGCACAGTCTTGTAACAAGAAGTCACTGAAGATTTGTTCATATAATTTGCGTATTTGTTAAAGGAATAGCTCTATCACTTTGTATAATCATTAATTTATACTTACACCATAGATAAGAGGTTAGAGAACCTCCTTAAAGATTCCTTCTACCTTTTTAGGAATGGCTCTGCAGCCAGCAGTGGTTGTGGTGAGAGTTTGCCAAGTACATAAAATCTGAGTGAAGCGTGTGCTCCATTTCAGGGAATCTGATTTTGAAGATCATGCCATTTGGCAGCTCTTGGAAAACTTTCCGAGAGCTTTAAGTTTCTCAGTGGATTTCTTGAAAGACTTCATAAAGCAGCTTTCATGGGTTGGCACTATGCCTAAATAGGAAGGAACCTATGGCTCAAGGGTTGGTCAGCTGAACTTCTCTGCAAATTGATAGGCTGCCCTTTGAAGAAAATGCTTGTTTTGGACCATCCTTGAATGCCTTCATCTAGAAGGTAACACTGGGAAAAAGCACAATGGACTTTATCTGCTTTCAGGTCCACAAGAGTGGTTTTCTTTGCAGCCCTGGAAATGCTGCTGTTTCCAGAGGTTGGACAGGAGGCACAAGAGCCCAGAGTGGCACAAGTGCCTGCCAGATCTACGATGCCGCTTGTCCGTCTGTACTGGTTGCAAGCTGGGACTGGGTCGACTGGGAACACCAGAAGCAGATGCGTCGTCCGCCTGTACTGGATGCAGGCAGGCAGTGGATACTGAACGGTAAGACAGCAGGCTGTGGACATCAGAAGCAGATGCATCATCTGTCTGTACCGGATGCAGGCAGGCTTTTGGATGCTGAATGGTAGGACCGCAGGCTGGAAGATCGCAGGCAGTAGGTATAGGTGCTTAGTTGGACTGGGGGAGCCAGAAGCAGATGCGTCATCTGTCTCTACCAAGTGCAGGCAGGGCTGTAGGTGCTGAGCAAGACAGCAGACTACCAAGTATCAGGGTAACAATGGCAGGGTCAGACAAGCTGGGTCAGATGCTGGCAGGCAGATCAGGTACAAGGTGGCAGGAAGAAGACTGGTCAGAGTACAGACTGGAGTAAGCAACCGCAAGGCAGACAGTGGGAGAAAGCAGAGACGTAGTCCAGAATCGAGCCAAAAGTCGGTGCGCACAGGGTACTAACAAGGTCAAACAGATTAGTTGGTTGGTTGGCAACAGGAAGATCAGGATAGAAATAGGATTTCAGGAACGCTGTAGACCAAACGGCAAAGACATCAGGCACTAGTACAGTTTAAATAGCCTGTCTGGCGCCAATGCACATTTGCGTGCACGCTTGCATATGCGCATCCGTTCGCGCACACCTGCTGTGCGACCGTGAGCAACATTTCTTCGGTTTCTTAGCCTCTCCTGATATTCTGTCTCTGCTTGCCACATGGAGAGGAAAAAGAGGAGCAAAGAATTGTCTGAGGATTTCAGAACACAGATTGTGGAAAAGCATGGACAAGCTCAAGGTTACAAGTCCATCTCCAGAGATCTTAATGTTCCTGTGTCCTCTGTGCGCAACATTGTCAAGAAGATTACATCCCTTGGCACTGTTGCTAAAATCCCTGGATGTGGATGAACCCGAAAAATTAATGAAAGATTGCAGCAAAGGATTGTTAAAATGGTGGATAAAGAGCCTCAATCAACTTCCAGACAAATTCAAACAAGCGGACCTTCAGGCACAGGGTACAACTGTGTCAGCTCACACTATACGTTGCCATCTGAATGAATAGGGACACTATGGTAGGAGACCCAGAAGGACCCCACTGCTGACTTAGAGACATAAAAGCCAGATTGGAGTTTGCCAAAACGTACCTGAGGAAGGGAGGATGTGCTCTGGACAGACAAAACAAAATTACAGCTTTTTGGCAAAGCCCATTATTTTACGGTTTTCAGAAAAAGCAATGAGGCCTTTAAAGAAAAGAATACAGTCCCTACAGGCAAACATGGTGGAGGTTCACTGATGTTTTGGGGTTGCTTTGCTGCTTCAGGCACTGTATGTCTTGACCATTCTCATGTAAACAAAACATTTCTCCTCCCTGTCGGCTCGTGCACACTGCTTTGGATGGCTGTGCACATCCATGCAAAGCAGTGTGCTTAAAGTGAAGCACACGAACACAGCACATTGTGAAACAGCACACAGTTAACCCATTGATCACCCCTCATGTTAACCCCTTCCTGCCCAGTGTCATTAGTACAGTGTCAGTGATTTTTTTTTTTTTTAGCACTGATCACTGTATTGATGTCACTGGGGATGTCAGTAACACCAGGTTAGTTCCCCCCAGTGTTAGAATGCCTGCCGCAGTCCCGCTATAAGTCGCATATCGCTGCCATTACTACTAATAATAAAATTTATACAAATCTCAGTATATATATCGCCATTTGCAAATGCTATAACTTTCACGTATACCAATGAATTTACACGTACTGGCATTTTTTTTTTACAAAGACATGTACATTTTGGCCTACATATATGACAAGATTTTATTTTTTTTTACTGGATATGTTTAATAGCAAAAAGTCAAAACTAGTTTTTTTCTCAAAATTGTCTTTTTTTTTTTTTTTTTTTTTTTTTTTTTTTTATATAGCGCAAAAAAAATAAAACCACACAGGCGATCAAATACCACTGAAAGAGAGCTCAATTCGTGAGGGAAAGAAAGGATGTAATCTTCATTTGGGTGCAGCGTTGCATGACCGCACAATTGTCAGTTAAAGTAACGCAGCGCTGTAATGGCCTGGTCAGGGAGGGGTGTAAATCCTCTAGAGGGCGAGTGGTTAATTCACTTGCCATATTTTTATTTTCATTTGGTATACATACATCTTGGTGTGGGGCTGTTTTTCGGCATACGGTACTTTCAAACTTCATATCATTGAAAGAAGAATGGATGGAAAAATGTACTGAGACATTCTTGATAAAAATCTGCTGCCATCTTCAGGATGATGAAGATGAAACAAGGGTGGACATTTCAGCAAGACAATGATCCTAAACACAAAGCCATGGAAACTCAATTGGCTGCAAAGAAAGAAAACAAAGCTGCTAGAATGGCCCAGCCAATCACCCGGCTTGAATCCAATAGAAAATCTACAGTTGCAAGAAAAAGTATGTGAACCCCTTGGGATTACGTGGAGTTTTGCATGAATTGGGCATAAAATGTGCTCTGAACGTCATCTAAGTCACAACAATAGAAGAACACAGTCTGCTGAACATAATACTACACAAACATTAGATGTTGCCATGGTTTAATTGCATATAACATGTAAACATTCACAGTGCAGGGAGGAAAAAGTATGTGAACCTTTGGATTTAATAACTGGTTGACCCTCCTTTGTCAGCAATAACCTCAACCAAACGTTTCCTGTAGTTGCAGATCAGACCTGCACAATGATCTGGAGTAATTTTGGACCACTCCTCTTCACAAAACTGTTTCAGTGTAGCAATATTCTTGGGATGTCTGGTGTGAATCGCTCTCTTAAGGTCATGCCACAGCATTTCAATCGGGTTGAGGTCAGGACTCTGACTGGGCCACTCCAGAAGGCGTATTCTGTGCTGTTGCAGCCATTGTTTTGTTGAATTACTTGTATGCTTTGGGTCATTGTCCTGTTGCATCACCCATCCTCTGCGGAGCTTCAGTTGGCGGACAGATGGTCGTACGTTTTTCCTGCAAAATGTCTTGATAAACTCTGGAATTCATTTTTTCCATCAATGACAACAATCCGTCCAGGCCCTGAGGCAGCAAAGCAGCCCCAAACCATGATGCTCCCTCCGCCATGTTTTACAGTGGGGATGAGGTTTTGATGTTGGTGTGATGGGCCTTTTTTTCTCCACACATAGTGTTGTGTGTTCTTCCCAAACAACTCAATCTTGGTTTCATCTGTCCACAGTATATTCTGCCAGTAGTGCTGTGGAACATCCAGGTGCTCTTTTGCAAACTTCAAACGTGCTGCAATATTCTTTTTGGACAGCAATGGCTTCCTCCGTGGTGTCCTCCCATGTACTCCATTCTTGTTTAATGTTTTCCTTATTGTAGATGTGTCAACAAAAATGTTAGCATGTGCCAGAGATTTCTGTAGGTCTTTAGCTGACACTCTGGGATTCTTCTTTACCTCATGCAGCATTCTGCGCTGTGCTCTTGCAGTCATTTTTACAGGACGACCACGCCTAGGGAGAGTAGCAACAGTGCTAAACTTTCTCCATTTGTAGACAGTCTGTCTTACCGTGGACACATGAACATCAAGGCTTTTGGAGATACTTTTGTAACCCTTTCCAGCTTCATGCAAGTCAACAATTCTTGATGGTAGGTCTTCTGAGAGCTCTTTTCTGCGAGGCATGGTTCACATCAGACTGTGCTTCTTGAAACCAGTAAACCCAAAACAGGTGTGTGTTTTTTAAGGGCAGGACAGCTGTCAGCAACACATCCAATATCATCACACTGATTAGAGTCAAGGTTGGCTCACTCCTGGCTCCAATTAGCTCTGGGAGAAGTCATTAAGCTAGGGCCTCACATACTTTTTCCTCCCTGCACTGTGAATGTTTACATATTATGTGCAATTAAACCATGGCAACATCTAATGTTTGTGTAGTATTATGTTCAGCAGACTGTGTTCTTCTATTGTTTGTGACTTAGATGACGTTCAGAGCACATTTTATGCCCAATTCATGCAAAACTCCACGTAATCTCAAGGGGTTCACATACTTTTTCTTGCAACTGTATATAAAGTACTAAAGAACAGCGTTCATAGAAGAGGCCCACAGAACCTTCAAGATTTGAAGACTGTGTGGCAGAATGGGCCAAGATCACACCTGAGCAATGCATGCAACTAGTTTCTCCATACAGTAAACTTCTTGAAGCTGTCATTACCAACAAAAGCTTTTGTGCGAAGTATTAAATTTCAGTTAGCGTGTTCAATACTTTTTCTGTGTCATTTCCTTTTATTACAAATAACTTAATTCCTTAACGTATTTGTTTGGGTTTCTTTCTTTTTGTATGGACTGCATGGGTTGTTACCAACATATGGTGAAAATTTCATCTCAGTAGCACCTTATTTTACCTGCTGTATTTTGTTCCCTAACCATATACAATAGCTGGCTATTTATATCTATCATTGCATATAAATATTCAAGAATACATTGTCTTTTTTTAAACTTTACATATTAACTAAATTATACACCAAACTTTATTATAATGCAGTATGTACAGTTGCATTCCAGAGAACTTTAGCTTAATATTGTGACTGTGTAGGACATGCCCCAATTGAATTGGAAGGTCTTGATGTCGGATGCCAGCCTTTTGTACTAGGGATATGTTCTGGAAAACCTCTTGTTTCAAGAAAAGTGGTCATCAGAGTTGGAAGTTGTCATTCAATGTCCTTGAACATTGAGGGATTCAACTAGCTTTCCTACAGTGGTCTCTCTGCCTTCAGGATCCCTCTGCCAGGGTGCAATCGGACAATGCCACGGCTGTGGCATACATCAAGGAGGGAGAAAAAGTCTTGCTGCTCAAGAAGAAGCAGACCTTATCTTGTGGCGGGCAGAACTTCCATCCCTCTCTGCTGTGGAAATTTGGCAGGCCTATCACTCGTGTTCGCAGAGATTTGACTGTGGTGAGAAGAGATGCATTGTGTCTGTCTCGTAGCATCAGAGAAAGATGTAAAAAAAAAAAATTGTGCAAAATAAATATATAAAATAGTAATAAAAAATAACTAAATTAAGGTTTGATCTAGGTTATTTTTTTTTTTTAATTAGTATCAATGTCCGTTTGTTTTAGGTAAGATAAAAAAAAAAGCAAAATGTGCATTGTTTCTGGGCCCTACTTCAGGTACAAACTACTATACACATTTGTGGTATCACTGTAATCGTCAGCCGTCTATTTTGAGCCAGTTTTTATTTGATTAAAAAAAAGAAGATATATGTTACTGTTGAAACAATGGAAAATAATCAGTCCAAAAGTACATCTACCTTGTTTTGTTCAACCTGTCTCATATACCCCTAATGCATTTTTTTTACCAAATATGTTGGGTTGACTTTGGATTCACAATAAACCTAATTTGCAAAATAGGTTGGGTTTTGTTCTTTTCTAGATCTATCCAAACCCAATCTAATTTTAGCTACAAAGCCTCCAAATCACCCACAGAATTAGTATTGTTGCAGCAAGCAGATTTCCCTCCACCATGGGTGGAGGGCTAATTGATCAGGTTTTTGGACACTTAAAGTATAACTAAAAGCAAAATTATTTTTTTTAGGTTTTGCCTGTAGTGACCAATTGAATAAAAAATAAAGGGTTTAAAACTATAAAAGAGAAAATTTGATAAGCACCCCTATAATACCACATTGCAAATGCCATTATAGTGCACTTATGTGTATTTTTACATAAATCGTGTCAAATATGCGGTATTGGCGTGCACATAATAGTGCAATTATTCTAGACCCATAATTCATGGTCCGCTTTAAACTGAGAGTCCTTTTAAAGCTTTGTCTATATAGAGAATTTCTTGCTTCCACAGTTTTCTGCAACTTCACGTAGGTGCTCAATTTTAAGGCTTGACATATTTGTTTAGTTGACTATCTCTTTTATATTTTATCCAAGGATTGGGTGTAATGTTTGTTTTGCACAAAGATTCTTTTTAGTATATTTTTTCCAGAATACGTGTTTTGATAAACAGCTGTGCAAATATTGTACAACATAAAAAAATTTCAACTGCAACTGTTTTATTCTCCAGGGTCTGTTTCCAAAAATATAGAATTGTTTTAGGGTTTAAAGTAATCTGAAAGAAATGCAAATTTTAACGTGTGAAAAATTTACATTGCTCCTGTGGAAGTGGTAAAGCTTGCACTTGTCCTTAGGTGCTGCGTTTATGGTTAAATTCATTGCACCCAGCAATTTGTTTTCTTTTTGTACTAGGTTACAAAAATTCAGGCCAGCAGTTGCAAAGGTTAAATGCTTATTTTATTTTTAGGGGGAACAAGAACACAGGCTTCACTGCACTGCAGGACCAGTCCACAGCTTCTCCAGCAGTGGCAATTCCTCTGAAGTCATCCAGCCTTGCGTTGGACCCTGAGGAACAGTTTACAACTGGATTATAGGGGAGCATAGATTGCTTTTCCTGTCCCCTAGGCCTAAAGAAGCAATTTTACTCTTGCAGTGACAGGACAGCCCCACTGCAAGGGAGATTTTTTATTATTCCCTGGAGTTTGGCTTTAAACCATTCATAGAAGATAGTTTGAGACAATTGACTTTTCAGAGAAAGATGTGATTACATGTGTGTTTTCCTGTGAAATATATACAGATTGTTGGAGAGGAATGTCTTTTTGTCTTTTTTT